GTTATAAATGAAAACAAAGTTTTTAGTTGTAATCTATATATATATTTGTTATAAATGAAAACAAAGTTGTTAGTTGTTATATATATATATATTTGTTATAAATGAAACAAAGTTGTTAGTTGTAATCTATATATAGATTTGTTATAAATGAAAACAAAGTTGTTAGTTGCTTTATTTACGAGAATGATGAAATATCTACGAAGTAATCTAAATATCCATTAATTTATTTTTTACTCATAACGTACCCTTTGTTGTTAATAGTGAATTCCTTGAAATATGGGATGTATTTACGGATTATTCCTTTAATATTTACCCATTTGGATTACTTTTAATTTTTCTTTCTTTTTTTAACTTCATTTAAGTAAAAACTATATTTATTGGGTGACCTAACAACTCACCAGGCAGGTTGTCCATTCTATCAAATTTTTACATATTCTTAAATAATTGTTGGCAGAAAGAAAGAACGAAGTGAAGATTGTTGTGGAGATATGAGAAACAGAAGCAATAACTTAACACATTTTTAATACGACTAATTTTACACTTCCAAATACTGAATGACGAACCCTCCTCTCTCTATTTCTCTCCTCAAATCACTCTTAACAAAAATAATGACTGCTTTCTCTTTCTAACACTAGTGACCTCAGTGACCCTACCTGGAGTCGAGAGACAGCGAACCTTCTCTGGAGGAGATCAAGCAGCATTAGGAGCGGGTCCACGGCGAAGAACAATGTCAATGGAAGATTACGACACACCACGGATCCGAAGAACTTCCCTGACCGCTGTCCAAAAGTGAACTGACCAATTGTGCTGGAGTTCAGGCCAATATTATAGAAATATGATACTGTTCTATCGGATCAAGTATGAAAAAACCACGACATCTAATATATTACAGTTTGGTATATGTGAGCTTACGATAGATTATACGTAGAATTTCTAAGGGAATGGGTTCCTTTTGATGTTGTTAAATTCAACTGTTACGACCAGTACAAATCCAAATATGTGTCGAACAGTCAAGAATGTTTCTTATACACGCAAAATATAACACGCCACGTGTTAAATAATCAGTAATAAAAAAAATTAACTCAGATGCCCGTTATTGCTTGTTCAGTCCATAACCCTATTAAATTGTTTGCTTATTTTTTTTTTGGCCAAGACTTTATACGATATTGTTTGAAATATCCTCGTCATCAGAAAGTGAAGTAAATTAATCTAGGTACCGGTAACCACTAAACGACGGATGGTCCTTAAGAATGTGTTCTATATAAGTAACTTGTTTTTATCCCAAGTTATAAAATGTTTTAAAATCTGTCAACTAGCTAATTTAAAAATGGATTTTTAACAAAGGAACTCATTCTCTTAGAATATTTCAATGAGTTCTTAACAGATAGTAGAAAGAAATATGCACTTAACCGCAATGCTTTTTCACATATGTAAATATTTGCATAAAAAAATCTAAATCCTTGTAGAACGTTTATAATGAACTCAGAATGTTTTTGTTACGTTCCTTGTTTGATAGATATTTTGTAGTGAATTTTTGCACTGAATCTGTTTCTTCAGAGTGTCCTAAATTTTTGTATTTCTTGAAAGAAAGTAGTTTAATAAGCTTTGACTCTTCATAAAGACTTCCTATTTTTAACAATAGATCGCTGTCGTATGGAAAAACGTGTAACAATTTTACTGTAACAACATGAAAAACTTGTAACATTCGGTACAGTAAGAACATGAAAAAACGTGTAACATTCGTAAAAAACATGTGACGGTGATTACGGAAACAGTTATATAACACGCACATTTGACTTCGTACAAAGATTTTAAAACTAACAAGGTTTTTAATTCTAATGTGATTCAGCTAGATTTAATATAAATTAACCAGAGTTCTAAACTTTATTACATTATAAATTATATTTTGATAAAATTTAAAAAATGAGCAGAGTTCAAATTTTATAGTTTAATCATATAAACACTCAGCCTCTTATTGTAGAAACATTACAGAAAAAATCATATAAACACTCAGCCTCTTATTGTAGAAACATTACAGAAAAAATCATATAAACACTCAGCCTCTTATTGTAGAAACATTACAGAAAATCATATAAACACAGCCTCTTATTGAAGAAACATTACAGAAAAAATCACATAAACACTCAGCCTCTTATTGAAGAAACATTACAGAAAATCATATAAACACTCAGCCTCTTATTGAAGAAACATTACAGAAAATCATATAAACACTCAGCCTCTTATTGAAGAAACATTACAGAAAAAATCATATAAACACTCAGCCTCTTATTGTAGAAACATCATACAATAGATCATATAAACATTCAGCTTTTGATAGAAGTATTACATCATAAATCATATAAACATTCAGCCTTTGACTTGAACATTACAGCAGAAATCATACAAACACTCAGCTTCTTATAGAAACAATACAACAAAAGTTACACAAATAGTCAGTGTCTTGTAGAAACAATACAGCAGAAGTCACACAAGTAGTCAGCCTCTTATTATACAAACAATACAACAGAAGTCACACAAGTAGTCAGCCCCTTATCATACAAACAATACAACAGAAGTCACACAAGTAGTCAGCCCCTTATTATACAAACAACACAACAGAAGTCACACAAGTAGTCAGCCCCTTATTATACAAACAACACAACAGAAGTCACACAAGTAGTCAGCCCCTTATTATACAAACAATACAACAGAAGTCACACAAGTAGTCAGCCCCTTATTATACAAACAATACAACAGAAGTTGTACAAGCACTCTACCTCTCAGTATGGAAATATTGCAGTGAAAAATAACAATTGTATATTTATATTTCAAAAACATGTTGCACACGCTGACAGTGTTTATAAAATATTACTTACAAAAAGAAAAATCATACTGTTTGTCAGCTAAACATGGGAAATGGTGTAGTAAATATACTGTGTTTTATGTAGAAGAAATTAATTTTTTATAATGCTATTTAGAAATATCACGTGTGTTTATAACATTGCAATTTTGAGAAATTACCTCTACGTTGGCGGCAGAATAACTATTGTTACATTTTCTTTATCTGCTTTTGAAAAAAAAAAATGGGGGTCATCACGAAAATTTTGTTTTACTTTAATTCATTTTTAGCATTGTGTAGCTTTGGGCTTAACAACAAACAAACAGGACTGGAATAATTATTAGCCTCCTAAAAATCTGGTGATGAATTTTTCTTATTTTTGTTAGAAATACAAATTTGTTTGGAACATTGGTAATATTGTTTAATGTATTAGTATAACTTGAAAACTTAGGTAATTGAAATAAAATGAGACACAAGAAATCATTAAGTACAATATTGAAATAACTGCCTTTATAAAGTATAAGTTTGTGATGATTTTTTTTTCAAAAAACCCTTTCAACTGAACTGAGACTTTAGCGCTGAGTTATTTACACTAGCCCCACCTACCGTCATCCGATGATTCAGTGATAAGTTGAGGGCTTATAAAGCTAAAAATCAGGGTTCAATACTCGCGGTGGGCAGCACACAGGTGGTCCATTGTGTATCATTTTGCTTAACGACAAATATTTACACCAACATTTGTACTATAAATTGATTACAATTTTGCTAAACAAATCTAATAATCATAGTGTGACTTCATTTTTTATAAACAAACCGCCAAGTTAGGCTTAAGTTCAGAGATATTAAATGTATCGACTAAAAATAATTTTAAAATTTGTGTACAATTCAGATACAATTCCAAGGCTGCTTTGTTTATAGCTTAGTTTTTGGTGTTTTTATGTGCAGCATATTGTTACGATTTTTGTTCTAGAACTAACTTAAGGTGGCGGGTAACAAGAACTCAGAATTACGTATCTGAATATTAGATTTTTTTAATGTCAAACAGATTTTGAAAGTAATCAATCGTGCTGAAGCTTTTACAGTCCTAACTTGTTTCCGTAGGACACGATGTATCTTTTGTATTTCCACACGATATTAGTGTTTGACTTTATATATGACTCATTCATTGTATGTTGTAGGTGGCACTAGGATCGTCGCTCACGTCGAGACCGCTTGTAAAGAACGGTCGTGTTTCTTAGTCACTGAAACCCGTTAACCTGTAGTACATTAAGCTAATGTGATGCACGTTTTGTAAAATCTAATAAAGAATTTTAAAAAGTGTATGTTGTATTGTGGTTACAATTTCTTTCATTCTCACCAACATATGACAGATTGAAGTTAATTGCAAATCTAGTATCACCTAAGCCTAAATACTATTAGTTACTATTTTGTTGTTACTAGATACCTATACAATCACAAATGCCTAATTACTCGTTAATTATTTTGTTGTTGTTACTAGATACAAATTGTTTTATATGTATTTCGGCTGTTAATCTGGTGTTTTCTTATTGCAAAGGACTGTATATAGTAACTGGAGTCGGTACTTTTCCGTTATACCTTCGTAATTATAATAACCTTTAAAAAATATATAAAAACATGCATTTTATTCATATAGTAAAATGTTCTTAACAAACTTTCTAAAAAGATATTAATAAACACCCCATAAAAGTCTTCAAAAGTAACAAGAAGATACAACTAAGCAATCAATTTAAACTATAGATTGATAAGAAATACTGCATCGTTTAGATACGATGTATTTCATCTTATAAAACTGTTTAAAACAACTTACTGTGAAAGCATCTGTACATTTAAAACAATAGTTTATAGCAAGTCCAGTTATTAAAAATGTAATCATTTTACGTAACCAAACAAATTCCGTTATTAACAATATAATCCTGTTACGTAACCAAACAGGTTCCGTTATTAACAATATAATCATTTTACGTAACCAAACAAATTCTGTTATTAACAATATAATCCTGTTACGTAACCAGACAAGTTCCGTTATTAACAATATAATCCTGTTACGTTATCAAACAAATTCCGTTATTAACAATATAATCCTAAGGATTATATTGTTAATAACGGAACTTGTTTGGTTACGTAAGTTACGTTATCAAACAAGTTCCGTTATTAACAATATAATCCTATTACGTAACCAAACAAGTTCCGTTATTAACAATATAATTCTATTACGTAACCAAACAAATTCCGTTATTAACAATATAATCCTGTTACGTAACCAAACAATTCCCATTATCAACAATATAATCCTGTTACGTAACCAAACAAATTCCGTTATTAACAATATAATCCTGTTACGTAACCAAACAAGTTCCGTTATTAACAATATAATCCTCTTACGTAACCAAACAAGTTCCGTTATTAACAATATAATATTTTACGTAACCAAACAAGTTCCGTTATTAACAATATAATATTTTACGTAACCAAACAAGTTCCGTTATTTACAATATAATCTTTTTACGTAACCAAACAAGTTCCGTTGTTAACAATATAATATTTTTACGTAACCAAACAAGTTCCGTTATTAACAATATAATCCTATTACGTAACCAAACAAGTTCCTTTATTAACAATATAATCCTCTTACGTAACCAAACAATTTTCGTTATTTACAATATAATCCTCTTACGTACAAAAACAAGTTCCGTTATTAACAATATAATCCTCTTACGTAACCAAACAAGTTCCGTTATTTACAATATAATCTTTTTACGTCACCAAACAAGTTCCGTTATTTACAATATAATCCTCTTACGTAACCAAACAAGTTCCGTTATTAACAATATAATCCTCTTACGTAACCAAACAAGTTCCGTTATTTACAATATAATCTTTTTACGTCACCCAACAAGTTCCGTTATTTACAATATAATCCTCTTACGTAACCAAACAAGTTCCGTTATTAACAATATAATCCTCTTACGTAACCAAACAAGTTCCGTTATTTACAATATAATCTTTTTACGTCACCAAACAAGTTCCGTTATTTACAATATAATCCTCTTACGTAACCAAACAAGTTCCGTTATTAACAATATAATCCTCTTA